TTTTAGGTTTACTTATCCCCTTTATAATTTTTTTTAGAGCATCAGCTGTTTCCCATCAAGGTAGAGTGACTTGAAGAAGGCACACATTCACCACCACTTATTCCCTGTCTGTCTTTCCAGAAGTGCATGACATATTCACCATCATTCTTTCCTTACCCATTTTTCCAGAAGTACATGATACATATTCACCTAGCTGTCTTTCAAGAAGTACTCAACACATTTACCATTATTTTATCTAGCTGTAAAGTCCACAGACATTAAAACTCAAATGGTGAACCAAGCCAGAACATATAAAAACTTGATGAATAAAACACGTGCAACATCTGGCTACCTTCATAATAAAAAAAATCTTAATTAAGATACTCACATATTGCAAATGTGTCTTATTCAGCAATTTGTTGATATTGTCTACCATTAATGTAATGATAAAATACCAAAACTTTTTTCCATTCACCCATTTCCATGCTGGATCTCATTTGTCTGTCTACTTGTGTATACATCATCCAATTACCATTTTTCCTTTAATTTCACTTAGAGCATTACTTTCATCAACTGCCATTCAAAATTTATTCTGGCATACTGCATCAAGTAACCAGTCACTAGTATATCTACTCACTGTGTCAAATATTGTAAGACCAGCAGGGATCGTATGCACCAGAACCAGAGGCTGTAATCTTGCTTTGAAGAATTAGTTAGAGAAACCTTAGAAGGTAGCTTTTGTCTTGCAAAATCCACTATCTCAAGCTTTTCTTACAGCAAACAAACTGAGTCGTTCATCCAGTCAAATCACTCCAATACTGGGCCCTGAAACTTCTCATCTCTACCCGATAGTGACAGGACAACAGCTTCCTCGATCTACTGCTCTATAGCAGACAATGGAGAAGTGTGACCTGGAACTGTTATAATTTTCCTTCTCAGCAGGAAACAAAACAGCTGAGAACCATGATCTATTATGGCTTTCCTTCTTATAGAGCATGCTTCTACACAAGTACTTGGTAGAAAATACATAAGCTTATCCAAAGCTTGTCTTGCTATGGCACTCACCAACACTTTTTCACTGCTCTGAAACAAAAACACCAACAAAGGTGTTAGGATATATTGCCAAAAACCATCAAATATTTCACACTGTGCATGCCATGTCTTCAACAGAGAAGCATACTGTATACGAACTGAAGTTGGTAATACCTGAGAGGAAAACACCTATTGTTAGCAAAGCCTATGCCAAATCTGTATGAAACCAGCTGTAGGGCAAATGCATGTCCTCATAGATAACTGGAAAAATTTTAATTCCTTTAATCTAAATACATCAGAAACAAAGCTAACCATTTAATATAACTGCCTCTTCTTAACCAATTTTTAGCATATCTAACTTCTGCTAATTATGCACCAATTCATGATACATGCTAGTGTGTGCATCATTCCCAGAACACTGTGTACATAAAATTAGGATTCCTTATGCAAGACACTCGACCTTTTGCAAACTCTCTCTTCTTCAAATGTTCCTATTCATTCAAACGACGAAGACCGATTATCCAATCATAACACATTTCTAATGTTGCTGCTGATATGTGAAAATAAATGTTCTACAAAAGAAAAGGGAGAAGAGATGAGAAAATGAGCATGTAATGTTACTAACAATTACAAATATTACAAAAGTTATTAAGGTTCAAGGCCATTTGTTCTGTCCAGGCATTAATAAGTGATTGGAAAATAAAAAAAATTAATACTGCTAGCTGTATTGTGCTGAAGGAATAAAAAAGTAGCAAGAATATATAGTACAGCTAATTTTAATTTAAGAATGAGATGAGCTAGAGTAGATTTACCTTTAACAGAAAAACAAGATGGGGACAGCTATTAGGAAATACAGCTGTGTAACAAGAACAAATGATGTATGGTATTAATAAAAAGGGCATAACTGAAAATAGAACAAAAATTATAGAAGTTGTGACAATTGGAGACATAATATTTAAGATATTTAAAAAAGCAGCACTCTTTCCAAAAAATCCCTACCAATGCACGAAAGCCAAAAATTCAACCTCTAAATAAAATGCATAGCATATTTCTATCAGTCAATATGTCAGGAAGAAAACAAAGTTAAAAAAGTGTATGACAGAATGTACATTTGATTAGACTTTAAGCTAGCCAAATGAAGAAAATTGAAATACAATTAAGATGCACACCGGTAAACAACATTAAAAATGTTATTAAGTGGTATGCAACACTTCACTGTTATATTCCAAACTATCCTACAAACAATACTTCTTAATCCTTTACCTTTTCTTGCTTCCAAACTTCTACTTCCCTCCTTTTGATTACTGGTTTCCTTCGTTCAACTACTGAGCCAGTCCTCATTCATTTTGCATAAATTTTCATTTCATCAAAGTGCCAACAGCTGACAAATGGTTCACTACGTACAGATAGCTGAAATAACGTGCTGAATTCTTTCAAACACTGCAACTGGTTTTTTGACATGTGCGAAGATGTTCACAGATTAAGGTGGTTAAGGATGAATCTTCATGAGTCACCCTTTTATATGTAAGAGAAAGTGTGTACAAATTAGATCAACCAGAAAATTTTCTATTTACAAGCACAATTACTTTAAGAGATGATAAACAATTTTAAATACTAAAGGAGAGGATTTACAAGAAAAGGCAAAATGAGGAGTGATATAACTAAATACAGGAAATATAAGAGATAGCTGCTTAAAGATTTTCAAGCACAAGTGATTAACTCAGAAAGAATAGTGCGAAATGAAAAATCTGATGAGAGCGCGGTAGATTTTGAGAGGTAAATGTTTGATTATCTTTCCTGATGAAGTTATCTAGGCTACACTAACTTCAGCTCAAATTGCTTCTAATACAAACACATCAAAATCTCTCATACATCAACTGTACCAACACCCTTCTCTAAGCTCATTCCCATATACGCAGTTTGAATACACTGTACTCTCAATATGATACATGTCTAGGCAATTGTGAGAGAGAGATGTGCAAGACTAGGAATCTTCACTGACGAAATGTTTTGCCCAACCATAGGCTGAATCAGTCAAACAGAGAGATATTGGCATTGGTGGAAGTTGAAGTAGATGATGTGGAGAAGCAGTTGGTGTAATCAGTCCATCACCCTAGGTGCAAGATGATCAATTTCTTAGCCTGGACTGATAACATCAACTACCTCTACTTCATTTTCCACCAATGCTGATGTCTCCTGGAGTGTGATTCATCTCTGTATTCAACTTATGAAGCCTGCAGTGTAGGTGAAATGTGTCTTTTTTATCAACTTATCAGTATTGTATACCATCTGCAATGTGGCAGACACACATTAAGCAATCTCTTATTTATATTAGTCTTGGTAAAACCTCATACACAAAGATCTAGACAAGAGTATAAACTTCACAAATATGTCCTTATTTACAAATCCACCGTACAAAGTCTTACTCACTTGAACATTCATTTAATGTAAGACGTTTAAATCTGAAAAAATCTAATCTCACCATTAGAAGCTGAAACTTAGACTACAAATTTTGTTTAAAAAAAAAAAAAAAAAAAAAAAAAAAAAAAAAAAAATCCCACCCAGCCTATCTTGAAAACTGGATGCTACTTTTGGAGTTAACTGCACAATCTTTTGCTTCATAGGTGATGCATATTTGACAAATATACAGTTGACTCTAATGACAGTTCCCAGGTTTGCAGTGAATAAACCCTCACCAAACTTAGTAGTCCACATCTAACCAATATTAATATTGTAAAATGAATCTACCTTTGGAGTTTACTGAAAAATCTTTTGTCACTGCTGCTGCATGTGACATATCTTACAGTCAACTCAAGTTAGTTATTTTCCTGATTTAAAGATAGATTTGGTGGAGGCTAAGAAGCGGTTTTTTTTATAAGACTGACAAAGGTTTATCTGGTTTAAGTTTAAAACTGGAATCTCCATTTTAGTTTCAATTACTAAATTTAAGATTCTACTAAATTCCAACTCCTTCCACAGATTCACAGGTTTAGGGTTCATAATTCTGAGCATTCTTTATTAATTTTATGGGGAATAAATTTGCCATTTGTGATCCAAGCTCTTGAATATTTGTAAATGAAAATCATTTATAATGATTTATAATGATTTTTATTTGGAAATTCTCAAAATTATGAACCTGTAAATTGCAAGGGATGGGTCTAGTTTAATGGATAAATTATGAGGCTTGTTTTTTTCAAGCCCATATCAATACAATGTCGTGTAATTATACAGATGCATGTGAGCAAACAAGTAATCTTACGCTTTAGGCATAATAGCCATTTGAGGTATGAGAACATCGTGTATTCATAATTTTCTTAGGCTTATACAACATGCTGGTTTTGGTCTGCTTACTCGACAATTAGGCCTTTGATTATTTTTAATTCCAAAGAAAAAATCATATGTTAAAGTGACACAATTTAAGAAATACAATCATGCTATGTGCAAAATCACTGATGTATACTCTACTGCATTACTGCATGGTAAGCTGCTTAAGTGTTGAGTAATACTTTACAATGCACATAACTTCACGAAAGAGCATCTACTTATGTGACCAAGTAGAAAAAGCATTACAACTTTGATGACAAATGAATAAACTGTGTGGTTAACCATTTTATAGTGCAGAAAAGAATATGTATGAAATTAGGTGGACAGCTATTGACATAATGCAACTCAAAGAACGAAAAATATGAACAGTATTAGGTGTTATAAGAAGAAGTTCTGTACATCAATTGCACCTGCAGAAAATCTATCCTATTACCTTATGTCTAATTCAGTAACTCCATGCAAATCAAAACTGAACCCTTGAAATATAAAATGCTGTAAAGAAAATTTATAAATATACTAACAAAAACCCATTCACAAATGAGAATTATCACCTCTAAACAAGAGCTGTATCACATGAACAAATCACTCAATCTCTTTATTTCATTTGCTAATGTGTCTTGCTACACAGAACTGTATAAAAGCTTGAAATAAGCAGTTAAACTTACCCTGTTGTCTAATGTAGCCTCCAAATATTTGATTGAGAGGTGTGGTCTCCTTGGATCGATGATCAAGCTTAGTTGCTCTCCTGAATGCGAGGTACGACTTTTCCATGTGATCCAAAAGTAGCTTAATGAATTCGTGAGCATCTTCTTGACGTCCATACATAAGGGTCTTTCCAATGCCTGTAATTAATAACTTATATAACAGTACTACATATACCTGTACAGTTTTCTGAAGCTAAGACTTGACTGTTAAAAAAGGAAATGATTTAAGGAGAAAGAATAGACAGAAAAGGAGAAACTGCCAAAAGATAAGATTATAATGAAAAAATGGAAAAATGAAGATGAAGGTAGAAGACTTAGACAAAAGTAATGAGAGTAAAAATGAAAGATGCAAGACAATATGAAGAAAACATTAGCCACTTAAAATTATTGAACTATTAAAAGCCTTGCAGGGATTCAAGACAGTCTTCTGTTTAGCAGGAAAAAGTAGACCTATAAAAATTAGACACAGAACCTGTAAACTTTAAACTTCGACTTTAAGACAAAAAATTATTGCACGGTACTTTATGTGACAAGCTCCTAAATTGTGATATATATTTACCTTATCTTCTATTATCATTAAAATTTCCCTCATAAGATATCTTGTAAATATGAGCATATCCAAGTACTAGGAAAAGAGAATTACGCAAAGAAATTTAAAAATCTTAGTACTTGATAGTTGTATTAAACATCTTAGTATTAACACAAGCAACTTATATCAACATACTGAATAAAGAATAGTAGCTCAACTAACAGAGATAAACAAAATTTTTAAAGATATGGTCAGAAGAAGAAATATAACTAACTTTTCAGCTTGTGTTGTATGAGTGATGGCTTTATAACCGTGTTTGACCGATCAAGCGTGGAACGGAAGGTCCTCATCATTGCACAAACGGAGCAGAAGGAAGCATTGCTGGAGTTGATTTCACATCGCTGAGTGTGGGATGAGAGATCTTCCATAAGCCAATTAGCCATGGCTGGGATGTGGAAGAGTGCCTAGGATAAAAAACATACAGAAAAAAATTAAATTTCTTTTTTTTTTTTAACACATCAGCCATCTCCCACTGAGGCAGGGTGACCCAAAAAAGAAACACTTTCACCATCATTCACACATAATCACTGTCTTTGCAGAGGTGCCCAGACTTGACAGTTTAGATGTCACAGCCAATATCCCAAACCACTACTTTAAAGTGCAGGCACTGTACTTCCCACCTCCAGGACTAAAGCCCAGCAAACTGGTTTCCCTGAATCCCTTCACAAAATATTACATGCTCACACTCCAACAGCTCATCAGGTCCCAAAAACCATTTGTCTTCATTTACTCTTATTTAACACACACACACAAGTTTGCTGCATGTCCAGGCCTCTTGCACACAAAACCTCATTTACCCCCTCCTTCTATCCTTACTTAGGACGACCCCTACCCCTCCTTCCCTTCACTACAGATTTATACACCCTCCAAGTCATTTTACTTTGCTCCAACATCTCTAAATGACTAAACCACCTCACTAAGCCCTCTTGAGCCCTCTGAATAATACTTTCTGTAACTCCACACCTCCTAATTTCCACATTATGAATTTTCTGCTTAGTATTTATACCACACATTGTCCTGCCTCGGTGGGAGACGGCCGACTTGTTGGAAAAAAAAAAAAAAAATGCCCTTAGACACCACATCACTACCTCCAGCCTCCTCCTCACTACAGCATTCACAACCCATGCTTCACACCCATTCAAGTGTTTTGGTACCACTATACTCTTGCACATTCCCTTCTTTGCCTCCATGGATAACATTTTTTGTCTCCACAGACACCTCAATGCACTACTCACCATTTTTCCTTCATCAATTCTATGGTTAACTTCATCCTTTATAAACCCATATGCTGACAAATCTACTCCAAAATATCCGAAAACATTCACTTCTTCCACACCCCCTCCCTCTAATGTGATATCCAATTTTTCTTTACCTAACTCGTTTGATACCCTCATCTTACTCTTATCTATGTTCACTTTCAACTTTCTTTACACACCCTCCCAAACTCATCCACTAACCTTTCCAACTTTTCTTTTAAATCTCCCAAAAGCACAGTATCATCAGCAAAAAGTAACTATGTCAACTCCTATTTTGTATTTGATTCCCCATAATTTAAGGGGCCAATGAATGGTGCGGTGTACGGAGTGAAAAAAAAAAAAACGAAAAAATACGAAAATTGAGTTAATCTTACCACAAAATAGCTGAACTTTCAGGCAACACCCTGGTGTAATTATCATCATTATATGATGTTTCTACAAGGAATTGTAGTAATTTATAACATGTATGGTGACAGAGCCTTGCGTAGCATGAACGCTGACTATGGCATTTTTTTTCCAGTGCATTTTTATCAATTTCTTATATATTTCCTTCAAATATAATAAAAATTCACTTTTGAGATCATAGTAGTGGGCGGAGCAAGTATGGTCTGGGAACCAATCAGGAACCTCCCCTGGGAATAAGTGCCGACATGGCATAAATTACGTTGTCTCGGCCAAGACACAGCAGCCAACAAAATCTTCTATTCTTATGCTCTTACGTCTATGTTCACTTTTAACTTTCTACTTTTACATGCCCTCCCAAACTCGTCCACTAACATTTACAACTTCTCTTTAGAATCTCCCATAAGCACAGTATCATCAGCAAAAACTGTGTCAACTCCCATTCTGTATTTGATTCCCCATAATTTAATCCCATCCTTCTCCCCAACATCCTAGCATTTACTTCTTTTACAACTCCATCTATAAACACGTTAAACAACCATGGTGACATTACGCATCCCTGTCTAAGGCCTACTTTCACTGGAAAGTTATCTCCCTCTCTCCTACACACTCTAACCTGAGCCCCACTATCCTCATAAAAACTTTACAGCATTTAGTAACTTACTACCTATTCCATGTACTTGCAACATCTGCCACATTGCTCCCCTATCCACCTTATCATATGCCTTTTCTAAATCCATAAATGAAGTGAAAACGTTTTTTCCCTCAACAAATCGGCCATATCCCACCGAGGCAGGGTGACCTAAAAAGAAAAATGAAAGTTTCTCTCTTTCATTGCTCTCCATGGAGAGCAATGAAAACATCTCTGCCTTCATCTATTGTTCACTTATATGCTTCAATGTAAACACCTGATCTACACATCCCCTACCCATTCTAAAACCTCCTTATTCATCTGCAAACCTGCTCTCTGTCTTACCTCTAATTCTTTCAATAATAACCCTACCATACACTTTACCTGGTATACTCAGTAAACTTATTCCCTTATAATTTTTACAATCTCTTTTGTCTCCCTTTCCCTTAATTATAGATTTTTTTAATACTGCACACACCAAGTGTTAAGACCCCTTTTATACTGACCAGGCATCTCAGGTCAATCGTGCCAAATTTGGAGGCAGGAAAAATAAAATGTTGACATACGTTTGGAGCGCTAGCTGTAACAATGCAGATCTACGTTTGGACAGTTAAGGCATTAAAGCCTTGAATATGTACTCACTGGAGAAGAGAATGATACTTGAGGGCCTAGTCCTAAATGTTCACACTGCCATAACAACATACCGGAGTGAGAGATATGGGAGGAAGTGCAAAATAAACCCAGTGAAAAGCAAGGGTGCAGTGGGTACAATAAGGAAACACTGTATCAACATTCATGGCCCCCAGATTATTCAACATCTTACCAGAAGATATAAGAAACACTGCTGGAACAAGTGTAGATGTCTTCAAGAGAAAACTGGACAAGTATCTTCACCAGGTGCCAGATCAACCAGACTATGATGGATATGTGGGGCAGTGGGCCTCCAGCAGCAGCAGCCTGACTGACCAGGCTAGCACCCAACAAGCATGGGCCATGGCTGGGCTCCGGGAGTAGAAAGACACTCAAAACTCATCAAAGGTATATCAAAGGTAAGGAGAGAGGAGCTTACAATGACATTTAGGTCTGACTTGGAGAGAAAGTCAGTTTCAAGCCGAAGGCTAGGTCAGGGTTAGCGATTCCTGTCATGCACTGAATGTGGAAGGATTGTTTTTATACTGTGCACACCCAGTGCACAGACCCATTCTCTCATGTCATGGCCAATCTGAGTGTGTTACAATTTACATGTAATATGTCTCTTTGATGCTTATCCCAACAATGTAGATCCACGGGAACAACAGTGAAAAGGTTAACAGGCTTCTGTTGAGCATTTATAAAAACAGTAGTAAATACGTACGGCTGTTATTAACCAGCTTACTATCTAAACCATATATACTGTATTTTATAGCCTAATATTTATCTACATGCATCTAATCCCTTCTCACAGCTATCAGCAGGACATATTTGAAAGGCTAACCTGGAGCGAAGAGTTCATGTAGCATGTGTTTCCTAAGTTGACCATTCCTGCACCAGGGGGAAAAGTCTTCCTCCATCCCAAAGTGACCTTGTCTCTGGGCCATAAGACCACACGAGGCTCATCCAGCTGGTCCTCTCTTGCTCCAGCAGATGGCTTATGGTGTGCATGGGCCATGCTACCTGACGGAGAGGTGGAAGTGGTGGTGGTGTCGTTGGCTGTCAGGTTCACATATTTGGTCTTGAGAGAGCATAGCACCAGAGATTGTTGGGTGCCCACACGATCATACTCAACATGGTTCAGCAGCACCTACATGACAAATGGTTATGCATACAAAATGATTATTAAGGTAATTCACCTTCACTTAGTAACTTCTTTCCTGAGTTAGTTGGCAACTACTGATATATTATTTGTGACCAACAGAAAAGATTTTCAACTTATAAAGATATTTATAGGTTTATGAAAGAAGTGAGGAGAAAATAGAACACAGAACTTTAACAAGTAGATTAATTTCAATTAACAAAAAAAAAAAATCAAGCTTAAAATAATAAAACAATTAATGAGGCATTCAGCATGATTTTTCAGAAAACGTATTTGTGATTTGGATATCAATACTATATCTTCTTCCAGGCTTTAACAATGTCATGCAATAAATAAATTATTGTACATGAGTTAAGTCTTAGTGGTAAATGTTCATAACTCCTGTGTTGTTACTGAGATGTTGAGGAAGAGGCATGGAGGGAGGAGGAGGAAAGAGAAAGAGGAAGGAGGAGGAAAGAGGAAGAGGAGGGAGGAGGAGGAAAGAGGAAGAGGAGGGAGGAGGAGGAAAGAGGAAGAGGAGGGAGGAGGAGGAAAGAGAAAGAGGAAGGAGGAGGAAAGAGGAAGAGGAGGGAGGAGGAGGAAAGAGAAAGAGGAAGGAGGAGGAAAGAGGAAGAGGGGGAGGAGGAGGAAAGAGGAAGAGGAGGGAGGAGGAGGAAAGAGGAAGAGGAGTAAGAGGAAAGACAAAGAGGGAGGAGGAGGAGGAAAGAGGAAAAGAAGGGGGGAAAGTAGGGGAAAGAGAAAAGAAATGGGATGGAGGAAGAAAGAAGAGGTAGAAGGAAAGGAAGAGGATAAAGGTGAGGAGGGAAAAGGAGGAGAAAGAGGAAAGCGGAGGAAGGCAGAAAGAGGATAGAAGGATGGGGGGGGAGGAAAAAAGTGAGGGAGAGAGGGAAGAGGAAAAAAGTAAGAGATGGAGGGGGAGGGAGGAAAAATGAGAGGGATGGAAGGGAAGGGAGGAGGAAAAAGGAGAGGGATGGAAGGAGAGGGAAGAGGAAAAAGAAGAGAGGGAGGAATGGAGGGGAAGGGAGGAAGAGGAAAGTGGGATAGAGGGGAGGAAGAAGGAATAGGAGGGGGAGGGCAAAGGAGGAGAGAGGAAAGAGAAGGGATGGAGGATGAAAGAGGATGTATGAGGAAAGAGGAAGTGAAGGGAAAAGGAGGAGAAAGAGAAGGAGGGATGGAGGGGAAGGGAGTGGAAAGGAAGAGGGAAAGGTGGGGAGGAGGAAGGGAGAAGAGAGGGAGGGAGGGAGGAAAAGGGAAGTGAGGCAGAGAGAAGGGAAGAGAGAGGGAAGTGCAAGAGAGAGGGAGGGAGGAGATGCAGGAGGGAGGGAAGAGAAGGAGAAGGAAGAGGGAGAATATGAGAAGGGAGATAAAAAAGAGAGAAGAGGGATGAGAAAGATGGATTAGGAACAGTAGGAGCAGGAGGAAGGGGGAAAGAGAAAGGGAAGAGGAAGAGGGGGAAAATGAGAGGGAGGAGAGAAGAGAAAAGAGTAGGGGGTGAAGGGGAGGGGAGAAGGGGTGAGGATGAGAGAGAAAAGGCAGAGGGAGGATGGAAAAGGAGGAGGAGGAGAAGGGAGGAGAAAGAGGGGGAGGAGGAAGAGGGGAGGAGGAAGAGGAGGAATAGGGGAGGAGGAAGAGGGGTAAGGAGGAAGAGGGGGAGGAGGAGGTTGGGGAAGGGAGGGGGAGAGGAGTAGGAGGGAAGGAGGAGAGGAGGGAGATGAAGAGGGAGAGGGGGAGGAAGAGGATGGGAGTAGGGGTAGGAGGAGGGGGAGGAGGGGGAAGGAGGAGGAGGGGAAAGGAGGGGAAGGGGGAGGAGGGGAGGAGGGAAGGGGGAGGAGGAGGGGGAGGAGGGGGGGAGGGGGGAGGAGGGGGTAGGAGGGGGTAGGAGGGGGTAGGAGGAGGGGGGGAGGGGGGAGGGGGAAGGAGGGGGGAAGGGGTGGAGGAGGGGTAGGAGGAGGGGGAGGAGGAGGGGGAGGAGGAGGGGGAGAGGAGGTGAGGAGGAGGGGGAGGGAGGGGGAGGGGGGAGGAGGAGGGGAGAGGAGGGGAGGAGGAGGGGGAGGAGAGGAGGAGGGAGGGGATGGAGGAGGGGGAGGAGGAGGAGGGATAGAGGAGGGATGGAGGAGGGATGGAGGAGGGGAGGAGAAGGGATGATAGGTGAGGCCTGTCTGGGTTTAAACGACCAAGACACATGGAGGAGCAAGTGCATAAATGCAGCCCTCATTACAATATGTTCCCATCACTCTTACATAGAATAATGACAGCTTTATTATCTCTACTATAGAACAAATCCTACCTCAAACACACAACACCATCATCACTTGAGACACCACTTCTAACTACTACCCCACTCGCCTCCTCTATATGTACTCAATGTGTCCATGTATTACAAGTATTAACCATGACAAAGTCCCTCCTGGTGGGCAAAACGTTACCTAAATGTCTAATTAGGTTGCATATGTGTCTGTTTACCAAACTATTGTTGGCTGATACTAATGTATCAGCCAAAATCAGGTAGTTTGTCAAGTTGTTTAATTACACGTTGAAAGGACAGTAGCTTAGGCTCTCTTCACCATCCGCCATGGCATATTTTTCAATAACTCATACAGGTTACTCATGCCAACTTTACTTAAACATTGTAAAAAAAATTTAAAAACAAAAATTAAGAGGAATTACAAAACTTTTGCTCTTCTCAGAATATAGTTTTATATTAAAGATAACCTTAAATATACTGACATACCATAGAAATTTTCAGCAAAATAAGCTTGTAAGAAAAAAATCAGGCTGATTTATCAAACCAATTATAAAAAGTTAAGTAAACATTTCAATTAAGTAAAGATGTACAATTCAATTAACTAAGGTGTGTAGAAGAACGAATATCAACATACACCTCTGCAAGTCCAAACAATGAAGACCTGAAGAAGGTACATACTTTCAAACCTGTTTTAGCCACAAGCATAAACCATCTTATACTGTTTTATAGGCAGTATATACCTATCCCCTTTCTTCCATATCCCCATCTTTCTGTTACCAGACCAAGTATGTAGAGATTAGTACAGAATTTGTTGTAATTATTGTAGTGATAATCCTTTTCATAATTTATATTATTAATTAGATATAATCACTACTCAGTATAAACTGTACTAAAATGATAATTTTTTAACTCTTAACAAGACAATTTCATAAATGTTTAATACAAGTATTGTACAAATACAATACAGCCTTTCCTCGCTTAACGACGCAGTTCCGCTCCTAAGACCACATCAGTAAACTAATTCGCTGCTAAGCAAGGAGCATACTATAATGGTAGGTTTGTACCAACCATCTCTGACATTGTTTTAATGTCACCTTTGCACCACTTACAATATTTTTAGTATATTTTATATGTTTATACAGTAGTGTACTGTACACTGTAATAAACAGAATAGAGGAAATCAGCTCTAATATACATTATTTAAGTATGCATACTGGTCAGAGAGCCCGTCGTAAGTCCGAGTCATCAGTAAACAAGTACAGGTACCATCCGACTTACGACCAAGCTTGGTTCCGACCAACCGGTCGTAAGTCAAACCTTTGAAAATTGCCGACATACTGGGTGGGGCATAATGTCAAACCTTACTTATATAAACTACCTACATAGTACTGTAATGTATTGTACAATCATTATTTCATTCTTTTTACCATGATTTACTTTTATTGCTATATTTTAATTATTTATGTACATGTACTGTATATATTGTATACATGGTAGTGAACTGTATTGTAAATTTTACATCGCATACAGTATCATATGTTACTGTTATCTTTATGTTTTGTCGACACAGTGGAATGGGATAATACCACTGGTAGTGTCGTCCTGCCAGAATGATGTATAACCTATACCCTAAGTAAAGAAAAACAACTCTGGAACTTGTAATACGGATATTCGGCTGGCTGGGTGGCCAGGTGGGTGGGTGGGTGGTTGGCTGACTGAATGTGGCTGTCTCTTTCTCTGTATCTCTCTCTCTCATAGGCACACATAAGTGAAGTTATCATACATAGTATAAATTACCTAGGATAACCCCAAAAAATCCAGACAAAGTGCTATACAGTGGATCTGTGCTCCAGTGCCCTAAATTAAAAATAATATTAATAATTATTATTATTATTATTATAATAATACATATGTACTAATATTACCTAGGTAGTAGGTTGGTAAACAGCAACTGCCCAGGGAGGTACTACCGTCCTGCCAAGTGAGTGTACAATGTAAACCTATAATTGTTTTACATGATGGTAGGATTGCTGGTGTCTTTTGTCTGTCTCATAAACATGCAAGATTTCAGGTATGTCTTGCTACTTCTACTTGCACTTAGGTCACACTACACATACATGTACAAGCATATATATACACCCCTCTGGGTATTCTTCCATTTTCTTTCTAGTTCTTGTTCTTGTTTATTTCCTCTAATCTCCATGGGAAAGTGAAACAGAATTCTTCCTGCGTAAGCCATGCGTGTTGTAAGAGGAGACTAAAATACCGGGAGCAAGGGGCTAGTAACCCCTTCTCCCGTATAAATTACTAAATTTAAAAGAGAAACTTTCGTTTTTCTTTTTGGGCTACCCTGCCTTGGTGGGATACGGCCGGTGTGTTGAAAGAAAGAAAGAAGTACTAATATTAATAATATTATAATCGTGTCCACTCATTACTTACCTTAAAATATCTGTAGTCTTAATGTAGAGTGAGAGGCGAGTAAACAAGATTAAATGAATAAACGAGAGAGAGAATGAGAGTAGAAGGTTCGCGAGTTATGTAAACAAACGTTGTCATTGTTGTTGTTACCAGGCCCGGACACGAATGGTTTTTGTTCACTCTGTCAAGCCGACCAGAAAAACATCTCATATTTGTTAATTTATATGTTTATATGTTATGTAGCATGTTTATTATATAATTTTGAAAAAAAAATCATAGATGGACTAAGCAAAATGTCTATATTAACGTTTTATACACATTTAATGCACCTCAGTGATTATTATTGTGTTACTATAAGTATTAATATGGCATCTTCAATTACACTCTTAATGAGTGGCTCTGAGACAGACAAGCAGACAGAAAGACAGACACAGGTAGACAGAAAGACAGACACACACAGGAAGACAAAGACAGACACACAGGTAGGCAGAAAGACACACACAGGTAGACATAGACACACAGGTAGACAAACACACAGGTACAGACAGACACACAGGTAGACAGAAAGACAGATAAACAGACACACAGAGATACAGGCAGACAGATACAGACAGGTTTATGTGCAACA